TCCGCGCCATGCCTGCGGGAGGTCCACCGGATTCGGCGGCAATTTGGCGGCGGGTTCATGGAAGGTACGGGAGCGGCGGACCTCCCGCAGGCATGCCACCAAAAGCAGCCTGCCTGCCGTGCTTGGGGCAGCAAAAAAGCTAGAGCCGCCCCTGCCTCCCAGATCCCTTTAGTACTATCACCACCCAAAGTCCTTTTACTCCTTATGAGTGCTGGAAGCTAGCCAATGAGCCAACCCTCTGATCACTCTGGCACTAATTAGACCCCACAGAGCAATCTGATTGGGGATTGGGATGCAATTAGCTAATCAGGCTGAGGGGGTGGGTGCTAGAGGATTAATTAGCCTATAAATTGAGGATAGATTAAAAAGGTACAGGAAGGAAGTGTTGAGGGGGCAGGAGCACAGCTAGTTGAATCCAGATTCATTTCAGTCCGATCTCAAGGAAGGGAGCGCTCTTCTTCTCTTGGGCCTGGGGGAGTGGGCTGATGACACAAGGGCTGCAGTAAATAATACTTCCACCCAGAACTTTATAGGTGTTGGTGGAGGGAACATAAATAAATGGCACGACCTAACCAGTGGAGTCAGAGCAGATTTCTGTGGTGCATGGAAGTGGGAGCAGAATGCACGCTGCTACATTCCTGCTTTGCTCCCTGTCTCAGCAGGGGGGCTGATGTTATTTTACAAAAACAGTTTTTCCCCCAGGCTCTGTTACGAGCCTAATTTTAAAAAAAGGCTTCTTTCCCCCACACCCACGAGATAATGAGCATGCAGTTACAGGTGCCCTCTGACACCTGGGGGCATGTGCATTGGGAGAGCCACAAGCAGGGCCAAATTTGCAGCTGCTATATCTCAAGTAAATGGAATGCACCACCTGGGCATTTGGCCCTTGGTCTTTTCTCCTCCTCCAATTTTTCTCTGCTCAGTTGGAACAAAAAATATAAAGGACTGGGCCCCATGCAATAACAAGGGGGGAGGGGGTGGCAGGTCGGAAAAGCAGTCAGTGTTGAGTGTGCTTCAGTAAACAGCTGGACTAGTTGGGTTTAAAATCAGGTAATAAAAAATAAACTATTTGAGACAAATTCATGGCCAGTCTAGAGGGAGAGAGAGAGGGAAGAGAAGCTCACTTTGGGAATGAAGGAAGGCAAGCCAGGCAGCTTTGCTGTTGCCAAGAGATTTGGATTTTTTAAGCCCGTCCCTTTCATTTTGTACAAACTTTGAGTGATGTCCTTTTCTTAGAAACATTAGTTTGGGTATAGTACTTCATTTTACAGGGGTTATTAATTTCATGGGGAGTGGGGTATTTTTAAGCAATTTTTGAGTTTTGTGTTAATATCCCAAAATTGGAGGGCTTGGGGGCTTTCTCGTTGTATGTACTGCAATGAGTTGTAACAGCACTATGTTAAAGTGCACTAGGGAACCTTTAATATGCAACAGCACGGTCCACACAGACCAATTAATGCACAGCACGTTTGTGCTGTTTAAAAATCACACCCACATAGTATGAATTACTGGTCTTTGTAGACAAGCTCTTAGATACAAATAACCATTTCTCATGTTTTTCAAGTGTTTACTGGATAACCACCAATTTCATTTTTGGCTTGGGAGTGTATCAGTGCTTATCAGTTGAAACTGAAAGTCTGAAGCCCTAATGAGGTATGTGTGGGGCCTGAGAATGCAGGATCAGGTTGGTACTATAGAGCCAATCAGATTCGCTGTGAAAAGGAATATCCTCTTGCCTTGTGGGTTATTTAATTGAATTTATTTGTCTTACACACAGGAAACAAACATATGGCTCCACAATCAGGGAACACAACAGATATCCTAGTACTAAAACAAATTGCACACCAGCATTCCCCAAACTTTAGAAAGCTGAGCCTCTCCTTTGGGATGATTTAGTTGGTGTTGGTCCTGCTTTGAGCAGGGGGTTGGACTAGATGTCTCCTGAGGTCTCTTCCAACTTTAATATTCTATGATTCAATGATAAGGAATCCAGTTATGTCCTCTCTGTGAGGCCTCCTCAAAATGAGCAGTTACTTAGGCCATGCCTACGCTACAAAATTAAGTCGACCTAACTTATGTTGGCATACAGCCGCCACAGTAATTACATTGCTTGTGCATGACTACACTTTGCTCCTTGTGTCAGCAGTATGCGTCCTCACCAGCAGTGCTTGTGTTGATTGTACTGTCAGTGTGGGGCACTGTGGGACGGCTCCTGAAAGCCGGTAATAGTCGAGGTAACCAATGCAGTGTTTACACTGACACTGCGTCAACCTAACTACATTGACCTTGACTCTATGCTGCTCATGGAGTGGAGTTATTAAGTCGGCATAGCGAGGCTGTTTTGTCGGCTGGTGTGAAATATAAGTGCAGAAACTTCCGTAGTTAGGTTGACGTAAGCTACCTTGTGTCAACCTAACTCTGTAGTGTAGACCAGACCTCAGAGTAGATTGTGTTGCTCTTCCTTGTATGATACTTCCTTGCCTTCCTTCCTTGCTTTGTGGAGTAGTGAATTAATTAACAATGTTGACATCATCACTGGCATATAGTTAGTGCCCAGTGAAATGAATGGGGCAGTTCACACTCTCTGCAAACTCATGCAGAAGTCGTCTCTGCGTCAGTTACACTCAGGTCACATGTTCACAGTTTTCTTCGCAACCAGTTCGGCTAAAGGCTTTTTAACTGAAAACTGAAACTCTGGAGAACAACTGAGAGGCCTGTCCATGTCAGCTAGTCCTTTTTGTCATCCCGTCCCATCACCTCCCTGGGGACCCTCCCTCAGGGGGTTTTGTACTGAAGCCTATATTATTCATCCTTGATTAGGGATAACATTTTCAGAAGCACCCAAGTGACTTAGGAGCCTACGTTCCATTTTCAAAAGTGACTTAGGCACTTGGGTGCCCAGTAAAATGGGAGTTAGGCTCCTTAGGCGCTTGTGAAAACATTACCCTGTGCCATCTGTATACGTGTAAGCCTGACATTTAATCAAACTCTAACACCTCATGTCTGGTTTCAGTTCTTCAGTTCTTCATTTCCCAGGTGCTTTTTCGCAGATTTTCTATCCAGATTTTGAGTTGAAGCCGATTCTCTGCTTTTCTGGGCTCAGGCGAGCGGTATCTGCATTCGCTTTTCCATGATCTCTCCTGAGTGTGACTAACACTTTCTGTCAGGGTTGGGTAACCAGGCATATGTCTGAAAACAAAACAAACCCATTTACTACATTTCCTGTTGTTCTTTAGACTGTTTTCTCAGCCTACCTCTGGCTCCCCCATTGGACAATATCACAGTAAAGGTGCCAGTAGATTTTCCTGCTTTGGTACTGCTCCTAGATGTCTCTCCTGTGTAAGGGAAGCCTTGTAGGTGAAGCTCATCATTAAAGCTGGTCTATTCTCAGCTCTTCCACAGATTTCCTGTGTGACCTTGAGCAAGCCACTTTAGCCTCTCTATGTCTCAGTTTCCCCCTCTGAAAAATGAGCTAATCATTCTCTTCTTCATAGGAGGATTGTGAGGGTTAGGCGCTTTGAGATCCTTGTTTGGAGGTTGCTATAACAGCATAAAATACTATTTAAGTGGGACCTGATCTGTATGTTACTGATGTTTTGGTGAGGGACTTACCAACAGACCCACCCATGTCCATCCATCTCCCCCAGCAGGAAAGCATGCATTGTCTTGGCTCTCACCTGATGCTCTCTACGCCCATTGTTCTGAAAATGACCAGTCTGTCGCTGCGTCTGATTCTGCCTCCTTGCCTGCAGGCAGTTTTGTTTCACCTTCTTCCACTTTTCTCTCCATTTCCACCATCCCCCTAGCCAGGTGGTCACACTTCGTGTCAACATGCCACACCTCGTCTTCATTTTCAGTTCTGTGCATCTCTTGTCATGCTCCCAAACCCTTCCTTTTCCTACCTGTCAGCCATTGCCCCTCTCATCAAAAGCCACTTCTTCAGCTGCTGATGGATTTGACCTGCTCCCTCTCAGCCTTACAGAATGGATGCTATGGGGCCACAGTTATTTGCATCGCTCTCTTGTTGTAAGCCCTTCAGTTCCCGAGCAATGACAGGAAGATTCCAATGGAAGCATTTTTAGGCCAGTCTCCCCCTTTACCCAGTTGACCACACAGGGCAAAAATGGGACTGACCAAGGTGCCATATACAGACGCCCATTGGGCAGGTGAAATCACGACAGACAGTGATGAATGGCTTTCATTCCAGTTTGTTTCCCCATTAAATACCGTTTTCTCTGGTTCTATAGGTTTGGCCAAAATATTCAAAAGTAGCCATTGATGATGGGTCCCTTAATTCTGGTGTATCCAACCAGAGACTCTTAAAGGGGCCTGATTTCAGAGGTGCTGAGCACCTACAACTCCTACTCTCTTGTATTTCTGCCTTTGGTTAATCAGTCCTAGTCTGCAATGGTCAGGCGAGACCTTTGGGCCTGAGGCTTTTCAGCATTAAGGGCCAGCGACTGTGGTTCACCTTGCACAGGTGCAAAAGGGGAGAGGGAGGTCACCTCTTCCTGCAACCTGACATCAGAGCCATGCATAACATGGCTGGGGAGCATCATACTCACAGGTCACAAGTAGCTTTTGAGGGATAGCCACCGCGAAAGTGACAAAGAGGAGTCGGCTCCAGGTAGTGCCAAGCCCCTGCTAACTCTCTACACATTAGCCAGCATGTGGCTGGAGAGGGCATGCTACCTACCGCCTCTCAGGGGTGCTGGGGTTGGCATTACGGTGAACTGCCCCAGCCCCTTTGGAGCCCTGGAGAGAATTCCTCCTCCACACATCCTGTGGCTCTGAGCAGAGATCCAGCCTGGTCAGCTGATGATGGGCAACAAAGAAACCAGAACAGTTATTGAGCTCCCTCCTGCACTGAATTAGCCCTGAGCTCTGAGCGTTGGGAGCGATCTGGTGCCCGTGTCATTTGTTTGTGTGGCGTGTGTCAGTAGAGCCCTGCACGTGTTCAGTTTCATAATGCGCTCTATGCAGTAAGCTCTCACTCCCTGCAGGGAACGGCTGCGGTTTCATATTTCATTTCCCTTGTACACTACACCCAGATTCCAGTCGCTTTCTGGCTTCACTGCAGTGCATTACGCAGAGCACAGGTCCTGCATCGTATCCAGCAGAGACAGACAGGGCTTCTCTCGGTTCCAGGCAGTGGACCATGAAGATGTCAATTTTATTTTCACTTTGCATCTTTGCTTTCCCTGGCTTTTCCCAGGGCAGGGTTGTTGGAGTGGATGAAGCTGGCTTTGCCGAATGCAATAAGTTCTTTTATGGAGAAACCCCACCAGAAGGATTTACGGAGTCTTTCCATGTGAAAATCTGTCAGCAGTACAACAAAGAGCCACGCTTCGCAACGCTCTACAGCACGGAGGACAAGACCCCTCTTTATTCCGCTTTTAAATACACAAAAGCAGCTCAGAGAGCGGAGGAGAGCTGGCTGGTTGAACCGCAGGTAAGTCCATCTCCCCAATAGCTGTCAAGCAAATCTTCTCAAGGGTTAAGGCATGTAGTTATCCTGGACTGTTGGGGATGGAATTTTACAAAGAAGTCAGGGAGCTGTGAAATCCTTCTAGACACTAATGTATTAGAAATAGTATTTATTCTTGGGTTCAGCTCTGGACAAATCCATGGTCTCTTGTCCCAAAGTGCTTACAATGAAAACTGAAAGGCATTGCACCCAAAATGGAATAAGAAAGAAAGAAAAAGAAAAGGAAGGATTTCACCCTTTAAACCACTAGATCTATCTGTCTATCTGAGAGAGACAAGGTGGATGAGGTAATATCTTTTATTGGCCCAGCTGCTGTTAGTGGAAGAGACAAGCTTTCAAGCTTCACAGAGGTCTTCTTCAGGTCTGTCAGAGCTCTGTGAAGCTCAGAAGCTTGTCTCTTCCAACAGAAGTTGGTCCAATAAAAGATATTCCCTCACCTACCTTGTCTCGCTCATATCGTGGGACCAACACAACCATAACACTGCAAATTATCCAGCTAGCTACCTAGTAGTTATTACACAACACAGAGGGACACACTGGCTGTGGCTCATAGGGTTAAACATTTCAGTGACAAGTTGATATTTGCTCTATTGCCAGCACCGATCCAGTAGCTGATAAGTGCTCATTAACTTCATTGCACTGGAATAAAGCACACATTTGTGATTCACACAGTTGACGCTATGGCAGTTCTTTGTGTCCCTCTGTTGTGGATACTGTAGCTGGAAAGAGGTGTGGCATAGTGCCCTACAATATGAAAGTTTTCGGTCAAGGCAGGGGAATTCAGTTAAAAAAATGTTACCTGAGTGTCCGTTGCTCTTGTCTATACTGACACTTGGCATGGTTAGCTGACTCCTTGTTATGTTTTAGTGCTCACCCTTAAATCCTTACCAGTGGCCTAAGAGAGCTAAAGAACTTTACTTTGGTATTTGCAGTATTCAAGGTATTTCACTAGTAAGTGTAGGATAATACTGCACATAACCTGATCTATTCAGCTAAAGCAAATCTGGCGCATATTAAGGGAGACAACTCAGCAATGACAATTATTGTTTGTACTAGAGTAGCACCTAGAGGCCCCATCTAAAATCATGGCTCCTTTGTGCTAGGCACTGTACAAACATACAATAAGAGACAGCCCCTGCCCCAAAGAGCTTACAATCCAAATACAAAGGGACTTGCTATTTGCCTCATTTTCCAGATGGGAACTGAGGCACACAGAGACTGAATGACGTGCCCAAAGTCACACTGCAAGTACTAGAATTGAACCCAGCTCTTCTTATAGGTGCTGGAGCTAGGGGTGCTGGGGGTGCTGCCGCACCCCCTGGCTTGAAGAGGTTTCCATCATATACAGGGTTTGCAGTTTGGTTCAATGGCTCTCAGCACCCCCACTATAAAAACATTTCCAGCGCCCCCTGGCTATCCTGCGCCCCTGTCTTAGCCACAAGCTCATCCTTCCTCTCTGTCACTGTAGCCGGTGTTCATTGTTGCTGTTCATCTAGCGTTTGTTCCATTTTACATAGCCGCCTGTCAAAGGTGGCCACCTGCCACCTGAAAAAGAGAAAAGACTCTTTAAAGCCATGTAATTACCAAACTGAATAATGCATAGGACTCTTTAATAGTTGTGGGTTCAAAAGGACCTAGACAAGAGAACAACATCTGCCAACTGTGTCACATAGGCAGCAGAACACAGCAACAAGGAAGGTGCCCTGCCCAGCTGCCGAGCCCTCCTGCCCCAGCCAGGCACAAGCGTACCCAGCCTGACCCTTACTTCCAGCTGCCATATCTCCCTGTGTCCCCTCTTTCAAGCACCTAAGCCTCCTACATACCTCACGCTAAGCACCTTGAATTTGTTCCTGCACCCAATGGTCAAGCCCTCTTATCCCCTTCTCCCAGCCACCCACCCCCTCCCCAAACACGCATCCACTCAGCAGCCAAACCTCCTTGTTACCCAGTGACCAGCCTCACTCCCAGCTGCTAAAACTTCCTTGCCACAATATTTAGGTTTCCTGTTTCAAAAATCTAGTCACTTTCACGGGGGTCTTCCCCTTGGTCCACTCTTCTCATCAGCCCCGATTATAGACCTGTCATTCCTGAGCAAGTGCAGCAATTTGAGAAACCACTGCATCCCTGTGCATTATACACTGAATTACCCGGGCCGGTCACTATTTTATAATAAGTAGAACTTCGGGAATGGAGGTTGTTTGTAACGCTGAACAAATTGTTATGGTTGGTCTTTCAAAAGTTTACAACTGAACATTGACTTAACACAACTGTGAAATGTTAATATACAGAAGAAAAATGCTGCTTTTAACCATCTTCATTTAAATTAAACACAGAAACTGTTAAACAGTTTCTTTACCTTGTCAAATCTTTTTTTTTTACACTTTCCCTTTATTTTTGTAGTAGATTAGATTTAACACAGTACTGTACTATACAGTATTTCCTTTTTTACATTTTTTTGTCTTTGCTGCCTGATTGCCTATTTCTGGTTCCAAATGACGTGGTGGTTGACTGGTCAGTTCGTATCCCTGGTGTTCATAACTCCGAGGTTCTACTATATACCCAAAAATCACGGTTTGAAATAAAGTGTTTTTTTTACCTATGAAAGCTTATGCCCAAATAAATCTGTTAGTCTTTAAGATGGCAGCGGACTCCTCATTGTTTTTATGGGTACAGACTAACACAGCTACCCCTCTGATACTCTTAGCTGCTCTGACTTCACACAGTGTAACGCCATTGACTGCTATGGAGTTATTCCAGCTTTGCATCAGTGTCTGTGAGATCAGAATCTGGCCCCAGTGAGCCCTGCTTGATTTTGATCAATGATGATGTGAGATAAAGGAGGAGCTTTAGATTTTTCTTCCCTGTACTGAGCTGCTGTGAAATGTGCTAGACCAGAGAAATCCAGTTTACATTCGCTGTCTAACCAGATCCATTTGCCTGTATTTAAAAGGCCCATTCCCTTCACTTTTGCTTGTTGTTTTGGTTTGCTTTTAGTTTTCAACCTCCAAATGTTCCCTAAATCAAAACTGTTGTTCCTATTTAAAAGACTGGACCATTTAAACACAAATATGGATCTAGGTCAGTATAGACAAAACAGCTTCCCCAATATCAACAACAGCTTAATGAAGGAGCAGAGATTGCCAGACAAAAAGCCTTATCTATGGAAATCCTTGAAAAGCAATGCTTTAACGGGGACCCAAGGATCTGATCTTTAACACTGGTGGGAGCTGTGCCTGAGAAGGGATTGCAGTGTAGTAGTATTGAAGCAATTCTCATGGTACTTTCCATTAAAGCACTACAAGATCTTGCCATAAATTCTGCACATAGCTAGGCAATGCAAAAGCACCCTATTATTTTTGTTCCCCTGTCCTCCCCTCCTTGCTCATTTGTTTCATCCTTCTCTTATGTCTTGGGTTTTGGACTATAAGTTTTCAGGGGCAGGGGATGTCATTAACTATATGTTTATACAGTGTCTAGCACAATAGGACCTTGCCCTGGTTGAGTCCCCTAGGTGATACTGCCATACATTACATAATGTACTGAGAAAGTGTTAAAGGTGCAAAGTCAAATACTCAAAAGTTAGGAAATGCCAGAATTTAAGTTGCCTGTGCATCCTTAATACACACACACACCCTGCTTTGTATACATGCATCATGATACAGTCTTTAATTATATGATCACGTACCAGGTTTTTCACTTTACAACTACCATATATACAGGCATCCCATTCAACAATCACTGAAATGCAGCCACCTCCGTGGTGGAAGAAAGCAACTGATTACTACTGTGTGGTAACATTACACGGTTGTTTAGGACAGGAAGTGAAGAAAAACACCTTCCACAAATTGGCAAATAGACCTGTAATTGGAAAATCAGTGCTAAGAATCAAAACACTGAGGAGCAAGTGAGTGGATTTTTCTACAACTGTCTGGGCAAGTCTACACTTAAAACGCTGCAGCTGCGCCACGTAGTGCTTTAATGAAGACACTCTACGCCGATGGGAGAGAGCTTTCCCACCAGTGTAGTTAATCCACCTCCCCAAGAGGCTGTAGCTATGTTGGCAGGAGAAGTTTGGTGGATTTTTCACACCCCTGCGCAACGTAATTTTACGAGTATAGAGCTGCAGTGCACTGCAGATCAGACCTCTGTCTCTCCAGAAATAAGCAAACAAAGGTGTAGCAGTGAGCAGAGGTGGTGCTAACCCATTGGGGGCCTCCACACACACAACACACATAATAAAAAGCAAACAAGGGGCCCCATTGAGTTGCTCAGGGCTCTAAGCAATTGCTTTGTCTGATTATGCCTAGCACTCGCTCTGACAATGAGTCATGCAGGTAGAAAGTGAAGACGAATAGTGATGATATTAGAGATTGTTCTGTGCGATGCTGAGTCAGACTGGGGCTCCTAAGGGAATCTGAACAGCACACAGCCCTCTAGCACATCTAGAAAAGTGGTGACACCAGTTATCATCTAAGTCATTTCATGAGTGACATGTACACAGCCATATGCACACAGACATGACCGCTATACATGTATGAACACAGTTATGTGCATAGGGTACACACACAGATATAGTGAAGTATCACACAGCGACTTCTTTTTTACTCTGGAGCGACTAAGAGCTATCCCATGAAATTTTGTAATAGATCATGATGTAACTTGGATCGCCACTTGACTCCTCCAGTGTAACATGTCTGCTTCTTCAGGGATGTATGAGAAATATTTGCCAAAAGTAGCACAGAGATAATAATTTGATGTGACATAAAAGGAATGTCAATAGCTTCCACTGTTGGTGTGATAAATGAAGTGTATGTGTGGTGGGGGAGGAGGTGGGTAGCTCCCTTTTATGGACAGCCAGCCAGTAGCTATAAAATCCCTCAGAGTAGCTGTTCTCTAATTGTTCTACCTGTAAAGCATTAAAAAGTCTTACTGAAAAAAACAAAAACAAACAAAAAAAACATGTCAAGGCTAATTCTCCACTCTGGCCCTTCGAGTGCAGACCCACAAGGATTTTAAAAATTAATATTGGCCACTCCAGGCTTCTATTAAGCTCCCAAGGTTACAGCTTTTCTCTGACCTTGGATTGGTAGATGCTGCCACCACCCAAGTGCAGAACCCCTTTGAGAACCCAGGAAGGCACACTTGGGAATTCCTTCCTGTGGGGTATCTTCAAGTCATTTCACCCACACCCCTCCAGAGAAAAGCTGAGAAAGAAAACAAAAGAAATCAGCTGGTGCCACCAGCTAATTAAACAACATATGCACAAACCTCTTAGCACACAAAAATCCAGTTCTATTCTTAAAAAAGGTCAATTTTATAAAAAAAAACAAAAGGAAGAAAATACATCTGGAAACTCAGGCTATTGCTAGATTTAAAAAGAGCAACTACAAGGATTAAGCATCAAGAATAGTTTCTTGAGGTCCAGCTTAAAGGTTACAAGCAAAACAAAAGCACCTGTGGTTAGCACAGAGGAATCCACAAGCCATAAAAAATTAAAATAAATAAACCTAATCTCATCTTCCTAGACATTTCCTGATCTACTTACATATCTGGGGTTTTAAATGAGTAGTTTCTAGGTATGATACTGATGATTTTTCATACCTGTCCCAAAGCTTCTTACAGCATAGCTGCTCTGTCCCTTCTCTCCAGGAGAACAACCACAGACAAACAAAAGGGGAGTCTTGTTTCAATTTTTTTAAGTTCTAGCCTTCCCATTGGCTCTTTTGGCCAGGTGCCCACTTTTACCTATGCCTAGCAGTGAAACTTTGTAACTCTTTACAGGTAGAGCAATTAGAGAACAGCTACTCAGAGGGATTTTATAGCTTCTGGCTGGGTGGGTGTCCATAAAAGGGACCTGCCCCTCCCCTTCATTTATCACATTTGGTTAGCCATGTGATGTGCAGTGATCCAGCAGTCAGGATTTTTAATGAAATATATTTATAGAGAAGAAGGATGGTCCAGTGGTTTGTGTGCTAGCAGGCCCTGGTTCAATTCCCTGCTCTGCCACAGACTTCCTGTGTGACCCTGAGAAAGTCACTAAGGCTTATATACACAGGAACATCCAGGAAAGTTAGTCCAAATTAACTAAACGTGTGACTTTGAAGTGGATTTGTTAAACTGTATTAAATCCCCTGTGTGGATGCTGTTATTCAGCATTAAAATAGCCTTACTTTACTTTGGAGGTGTGTGACGGGATCCCCGGGGTGCAGCTTGGGACAGTGGGACTGCTGTGCCCCCTTAACTCTCCATCCTGGGCTGTCTCTCACAGAGCTTTGATAGTGACAAGTAGCAAACCCCTCCAGGCACTGTTATCACTCAGCACAACCTCATGTGGAGCCCCACACCCAGCTAGATTGCATGAATGTTCCCAGAGCCACTCATGAATCACACAGAGAAAGGCCAGCCAAATCCCCCCAGCTCCAAGCCTTGTACCTCAGGAATATACCATCTTGCACTGCTCAAGACAAGCAGTGCACGTTTATTAATTGGTTCACCATTTCATCAATGGAAAGTGGACATACACCAGCCTTTGTAAATCTGAGCAGATTTCCAAACACTTCAGGCAAACTCACTGGTAAAGATAAACAGTTAAACACATTTATTGACTACAAAAGATAGATTTTAAGTGATTGTAAGTGATAGGCAAAAAGTCAGAGTGGTTATCAAAAGAAAATAAAATGTAAGCATGCAGTCTAAACTCTCAACCCTATTAGACTGGTTCCCTGCCTGTAAAATGGTAGCTCCTTCACTGGGGTGTTGTGAGGATAAGTACATTAAATATTGTTTGTAGCGTTGTTGAAGGATATGAGAGAGATGAGGTGGGTGAGGTAATATCTTTTATTGGAGCAACGTCTGTTGGTAGAAGAGAGAAGCTTTCCAGCTTCACAGAGCTCTTCTTCAGATCTCAAGAAGGGACCTGAAAAAGACTGAGATTCCATTAAAGATTGTGAGGTGCCAGATACTCTGGTAATGGGGGCCAGGCAAGTGCCAAAGACAGCTACAGGTTTCCGCACACTAAATGAGCGCAGCTTCATTTTGACTGGGTTACAGCCCACGAGAGTTCTGCAACAGTGCCTGTATCTGCGTTTGAAATGGTGCTGGAGACTGCCTTCCTGGAGCTCCGTTAAAGAGAAAGAGAGCACTTGCAGCACTTGGAGGTTGTGTCAAATATAACGGCTGCATGAAAAGACTAATAATAGTGGGAGGCATCAAGGAAAGAAATGTTGCTGGTTGCCAGTGTTGACAGTTGCAGCATAAACTGCCTGTTCTGATATTTTTACCCTTGGAACAAATGACCAAATGTTCAAAGTGAATTGAACCCCAAATCCTGCAGCTGCAGCTGCACATCTAATGCAGACAATTGGTGGCCTACATACTCAGCTGCACGTAGCTACCTGATTCGTAACTATGAAGTTTTGCATTCACAAACTGCTGTGCTTGGAAAATTAAGTTCATGCCACATGTTCTGTATACAGTACCCCTCACTGTTTGGTAATGACACATGATGGAGTCTATGTGTTGTCTCTATCATTCCAGTCACATACAAAATTCATCACAGGAAAGAGGCCTGGGTATACTGGGGACAACTTAGTGAAGACTTCTGCCCATTACCAAGGCTGCAATCAGAAAAGCAAACAAGATGTTAGGTTGCATGAAGAACAGGATGACAATAATACAGAAAATATTATAATGCATCAAAATGAGTCATATGGCCTAATCTGTAACAGTGTGTATTGGTCTCCAAAAAGGATATTGCAGAACTACTAGGTGTCAGACAATGGCAACAAGAATGATCAAGGGCCTGGAAAAATGCTCATATGGAGAGAGATTGAAAAGATTAGGGTTGTTTACCTTAGAGAGGAGATGACTAAGGGGGGACATGATAAGAGTATATAAAATAATGAATAGCCTAGAGCAAGTACAGCAGGAACTTCTCTTCTGCCTGCCTCATAACACAAGAACAAGGGGACATTCAATTATGTTGAAAGGTGGCACATTCAAAAATGATAAAAGGAACTTTCACATAACCTGCAATTAGACAGTGGAACTCATTGCCACAGGATGTCACTGAGGAGCAAGAATTTAGCAAGATTGAAAGAGGGATTGGACATTTATATGGATAACAGGAACACCTACCTGTAATAGCTAATGCTAATACAAATTTTGGAAGGAATATAAAACTTTATTCTTCTGAGTTTAAGCCAATCTCTGACTATGAAGGGTAAGAGTGAGACACTCGGGGAGGGGTGGGGGGAAATTACCCCATATCAGCCTTCCATGGAGCTTCTTGCACTTTCTTCTGAATCATCTGGGCATGTTTGGATACTGGTCTAACCAGACCAGCGATCTGATCCCTATGGCAATGCCTATGTTTTATGTACAATACTTCTAGCTTAAATAAGTCAATTAAGAAATGAAATAAGAGACAGATGAGGCAACATGTGTATAAGATGCTAAGATCACAAACTGTTGGAACCATCCTGCCCAAGTAAGCCTGTCTAAATACAAAAGACACCTGGCCATTCGGGCTGCCTAGGGCATGATTTGGGACAGACTTTGGACCCTGCAGTTTAAATTTCCAAAAGAAGGATGTAGGACGTGTCAAGAAAGAATGACGGATGAACAGATAGAGCTGTAGTATCCTGGGAAAGAACATGGCAGACATTGCTTTGACTATGCTCAGTACTCTGCGTTCCTGCTCAGACAGCTTGTTAATTTGCTTGCACGACTCCATTGTCACTCCACGTAAGACTCCATGCAAGGATGTCTGGTTCAGGAGTTACTAGCTAAGAGTTCCTAGTACAGGAATTACAAAAATGAGTTTACCACACCTATAGCCCTGATCCCATAGAATAGCTGGGGACATACAGGGTCTGTATGCTGTCTGCTGCACCCAAGTGATGTGCTCCATTCTCCATCATCTGAAGTCTTTAAATTAAGACGGGATGCTTTCTAAAATATATACTGTAGTCCAGCTCAACCACAAATAACAGGCTTGATGCAGGAATTACTGGGTGAAATGGTATGGCCTGTGTTATGCAGGAGGTCAGACTAGATCATCAAAATCCCTTCTGGCCATATATCTATTAATCTGAAGAGCTACAGGAAAAATAGAAAAGATGGATGGATTCATATCATCTGTTGACCGGGGTGTCGCAGTGGGCGAGCTATAAGTGCATTTCCATGCATATTTTGAATGTAGCTTCATAGTGTGCAGCAAGGTAAGCCGCATCCAGTAATTGTTCTCTTTTGTGTCTCAGATAGATGATCCTGGAAATGACTTGGAGGAAATGGTGCATGAAGCTGTTGCTGTTGGCTCAGTGAACAACCTTGGCGCAAACCAAGCCCTGACCACAGACTATGTGGACTCTGGTTATGAGAGAGGGCAGCTAAACCCCAGTTCCCTCAATGAAGATGATTTCCAGCTAGCCACATACACCCTTACTAATGCTGTCCCTATGACTCCCTCTCTCAGTGAAAGCTGGCACAAGGACGTTGAGAATATAGTAGAGCAAGCTTTGGCCCCACATTGTGAAAACGGGGCTCGCCTGTATCTTGTTGCAGGTGCTGTTCCATCCAGCCTCAGAGTTAAAGACAAGGTGTCCATACCAGAGTTTCTCTGGCTGGCAGCTTGCTGTGATGCTCCAGAGGTATGGTCTCTGGGCTTTCTGAAACGTCCGAGTGGTGAAAACAGTATAGAAGACCTGTCTGTGCAAGAGCTGGAGAAGCAGCTTCCTTCAGGAGCTCACTTGTTTAAGAGCAATTGTGGGGGAGGCAGCCAAAGCCAGGAGAAAATGGAAACTATATTGCAAACCATAAACCAGATCCAGTCTGAAGAGCCCATAGTGCAAACTACGGCCGGGAGAGTCGGCTGGCACAAGCGCGAAGAGGCCAGCCTGCTGAAAAGAGTAGCCGGCATCGTTGCGGCCCCTTTCACCAAGCTGCTGAGAATCATCGGCTATGTGTTGGTGGAGGTGGTGAGATACACGTGTTATTTCCTATGGTATGTCGTCAAGCAGCTCGGCAACACTGCAATGGGCGGACTCCACCGCTTATGGAACGGAGTGGTGTCCTATGGCAAAGAAATCAGCACAGTGCTGGTGAACATCCCCAGGGACGTGGCCAAGGTCGCAGCAAACATCATCATGGGCTTTGTCCGGATCTTCCAGAACACCCTGAGCCTCATCTACAGGATTCTCAGCGTCCCCATTGGACTCTTCCTTCATATCCTGGCTTTCCCCTTGGACACTCTCTGTGCCGTTCCCATCGTCCTCAAAGATATGGCCGCTGGAGTTGGCGGCACTTGCTCACTCATTGTCGATGCCACAGCTGCCATGATGTCCGGCTTTTATTACATAGCTACTCACCTAGGCAAAAAGTTTGTCCCTAAGCTCTCTTCTGATGACTGATAGGGACGGCAAACAGAACTGCACAGACATGTGGTGAAAGAAAAGTGGGGCAATATGTTCTGATACGGGACCAATGCTGACAATTCTTGTTGGTATTTATTGCAGTGACATTAATAACACCAAACCAATCTGGTGATCACATGGAGGGCCTCTGGCACTTCAAAAGGGGATTCCATTACAAATCGACTTCCACTTATTGTAAAGTGTTCAGGGTTTCAACCGGGGTGACAAGCTGTCTGTGGATTTCAAGGCCAATGTCAAGCTGCTTCCGCTTTGAGACACGCTGAGTGTAGCACAAAGTTATTCCTTCACTACTAAAATAGGAAAATGCTGATGCCTGTACATGGGCAGTGCTACAAAGGCACAGCAGAAGCATGTGTCCATTGGTGCGGGTAGATAAGGGGCTTATGCTGACCCACCCCTCTGCTAGGATTATTGCATGGGAAGAAACCACATAGAGATTAATTCTGCCTTTAGTTGCACTATTGACTTCAGTGGGGTTTTGTGGAAGGAACTGAGGGCAGAACTTGGGCTGGTGTGTTTTAGCTGATAATTCTCATCCCTTGGCCTTAGCTGATAATTCTCATCCCTTGGCCTTTCAAGGCAGCTGAAATGGATGGAATGGCCCTTAGTGAGAGTAAATCACAGTTACTAGTTGCTTGGTGGGGTGTGGGGGGATATTTACCATTTTCCTTAACTCCCCATAACTTTTTAAACTGACCATTGGTACCAAACAATTATCCAAGACCTGAGGTCTTTCTTCAGTGTGGGCCCGATCCAAAGCTCAGTCAAGTCCAAAATAGTCTTTCTACTGGCCTTGGATCATACCCTAATACCCCAAACAAACCCCACCGCCACCCCCGTTGCCTCCGATTAGAGACCGAAGTCTCCCAAATACGTGCTTCCATGCCAACTCATCTGGAAAGCTCTGCAAGATTTGGGACTCAGTTGCGTTTGCCCTTTTTTTTCTTTTATGTGCACTGGGAGCCTGACTCAGCTGCAAAGAACCCTCCACCCGTGTTTCGGGCTGAGGCGACAAATACGTGACTGTATCATCCTGGTTGGTCTGAACAAACACAGTCAGTGCAAGGCCTTGCATGCAATGACAAAGGGCAGACGAGGAACACTAATGATGAGGGGCCAGGTTCTGCCACTCTAACGCAAGAATACGCATTGACTTACAGGGAGGCTATCTGCAGTGTGAGGGATGAATCGGCGTGAGCAAGGGTGGCAGAATTTGGCCCTAGGAAGGCCGGTTGATACCTGGCAGTGTTCTGTCTCCCGCCTACCTACATCCTGTGAGAGGGGAAGCAGATCTGAGGAACCAGCCTATGGTCCTCATGCACCCCAAACTCCCAGTGAAGTCAGGTTGGAAGGTTATGGAAGTCCGTGGGGGTGAGCTAGGAAAGCAGGATAAGGCAGAAGTCCATTGGGCTGGGGAAATGGTGAGCTGCAGCATCCTGCAGTAGGTTTGGGGCAGGGGGGTTGGTCACTCGCACTAAGTTAGCTCATCAGGGCTGGTGCAGGCAAAACTGGTAGGGGCAGGAGGCCCCAGGGTGGAGGAGGCCCCAGCCCATCAGTGACAGGTTGAAGGGCTGGCGTGACTGTAATTGCCCCAGTGACACACAGTGTGAAACACAAGCTGCTTGATGCTAATAGAGCTTGAGGGGAACCCGGGCTCCTGTCACTTTATCACAACAGCACTTGTGCCCCTCCTCCTGCTGACAGGACATACCCATCCACTAGCTCCCAGACCCTCCACAACTGCACATCCCAGTGCTGGACACCTCCCCTATTGTCCTCTGTCCCCCTGGAGATCCCCCAGCCCCAAGCAGGCATGCCATTGGAGTCTGGGTGAATGGTGACACACTGCATCTGGAATACAGTAGCGGGCAGATGAGATCCTAAGCAAAGGGCTTTACAGGGGAGGTCACAGTTTAGCTCAACTGAGCCCCCCTCCAAACTCAGTGGTCCTGCATACTAAGGGGACATGGTGCAGGGGCACGAACTGTCTGCTCCCCAGTAAACAAGGGCCTATCTTCAGCTCAGCTTACACCTCCCCTTGGAAAGGCAATCAGGGGAAGCAGTTTTGGTTTCTTGTTACCGTATAAGCTTTGTCCCTTGAGAGTGATCCTTGCTGACTGCCTCAGCGTTTGCGTCTATTGATTCAGTCTGCAAGCACACAAATGCGGTAAGAAGTTGTAGAAGAGACAACTGACCCTCCTCATAGTTCCTTCACACCCTGCCCTGTGCATTTTTTTATGCATGACTATTCTGCTGTATTTTTATGTAGCTCATCTATGCTTTTACATTTGTGGGCATAACTCTATGCAAAGTCTCTGCTGGGGGGATCTGGCTGTTCTGTTACATGCTACTTGGGAGCAGTTCTGGATTTGCGAAAACGTTATTACAATATGTGTCAGCGTTCCTACCACTTCTATTTAATGACAGGCTGAATTTGGGGGGAGTAGTTGGCTCAGATTCTAGCAGTGGAATAAAGAAACTCTGGCTGGTTCAAATCCAGCCCAGCTTAATCATGACTAAAAGTTATTACCCTGGCTTTGGGATCTGTGTGGAACAAATTATGTGTCCCAGACCAATTCCTAGCAAACAGCCCAACATATCTTAGCAGCAGAGAGGCCATGGAGTGAATGGACTTGGAGATCAATGCCACCTGTCACTCCTAGAGGTGATCACTCCAGGTCAGGGTAGAGGCATATGGGTGGAGTCATATGGGGAAGTTTACACTTTACTCCCCGTGCTGCACCTGATCCCTGGAGAAACAGAGGACTCTAGGGTTGTCAATCCAACATGCACAATATTGGTCCCAAATCCCGTTGGTCATTCCTTACTATGCTACACGTCCAAGCAGTCTATAGAGAAACTGCCTAAACACAGAACAAATATTGCAGAACAGCTATGCACAGCTGTAAACTGGCTGTCGTTTGAGATTAGCCTTATCTGGGCATGACATATGGTGTGGGAGCTTGACCTTATCCTCAGAGCTATGTGGTATTAACAAAATTAAAGTGACTTTGAAAAAAGAAAGACTTCATATTACATTGCTGGGGATCGTTACGATTAAGACTGCTGACACAACTCAAAGGGCCATACCTAACTGGGGAAAAGAACAGTGTTGTAGTTTCAATTTGTTGCTGCACTACTCAGGATCTGGTGGTGTTATTAACAATATTTTGTGCTTCTGTAGCACCTTTCATCTGAAAATCTCAAAGCACTTTATACAGCGTAGTTAATTAAGCCTCGCCACATACTTGTGAAATAGGTGAAGGATGAAGATTATATAGATGCATATGCCCCCCCTTCCCCATACATTATCTAGAGAGGGAGATCGAGAGAGAGAGATCATCTTATTCATCATGAAATGCAACTATCTCTGGGGTGAATCATGGCAGTTATTTTTTTAGCACCATAACATTGCACAGTAATTTAGGACAGGATGAAAAAATACAGTAAACAGCTGAAACTGCAGTGGGGAATGTAGGGAGGCAGGAGCCAAATACCTGAGTTGGATATTGGCCAGAACAATGTAGTTAGTACCTCCATTATACCAACCAAACCAAACCATGTTATCTTTAGTGACCATGGAGGTCAGGACTTTAGTTTTGTGTCTCAACTAAAAAAAGAAAAAAAAACATGCGGGGGCACTGACTCCAGTTCTGACACAGAAGGAAGAGTGCCACTTTCTGCAACATCTGTTCCACTTCCTGCGGCACTGATGTTTTCTTGGAAAGTGCACTATCCAAACCCTGACCCACCTTGCTTAGCTTGTGAGATCTGAGAGCATTCACAGCATGAGACAGGAGGGAGATTTTTCCCAGGCAGTTGGGCACCCAACACCCACTGTCCTTCCATGGCAGCTGGGCGCTTACTTGCCACCTGTGCCATTGTGCCTGATCTGGATGGAGTTAATGGCCCTGTGACAGGGTGGTGGAACCCAGTCCAGTGCAGGGTGAGTGCACCCCCTCCTCTAAGCTGCCCTCTACCTCAGGATGGTGAGGTATAATGGCTAGAGTCAATATAATTTGCCGCTGGAGCGTATGGCCTAGTGGTCAAAGCCAATTCAGCTGTCCTTGTCTTCTGGGCTAGAAGACCTAATGGCAAGGGTCAATACAGATGCCCCCTCTCAAGGCTGAATGGCCCAATGGCCAGAGTCAATAGGACGGCCTTGCCTCTCAGGGCTGTGCGGCCCAACGGCCAGAGTCAGTAGAGTTGCCCCCGCTTGCGGGGTTGTAAGGCCTAGTGCCCACAGTGAGTAGAGTTGCCTTTGTCCACAGGGTGGTAAGGCCTAGTGATCAGAGCCAATGGGGTTGCCCTTATTTGCAGTGCGGCAAGGCCTACCAGCCAGAACCAATGGGCCTCATGGCCAGAGACAATGGGTAGGTGGTGACCAGAGATGGGGGACCTGGACCCACCCTGCTCCACCAGGTCCCGGCCCAGGGCCCTAACAGTGGTGAGGTGTTCCACCACTGAGTCAGCAGAACTCCAACCGAAACATGTCGACTTCCCTCAGGACTCTAGCTAGTTCCTAATAGGTCTCTTGGAGCAGTACTCAAGGTGTTGTCGTGGTCTCCAGGCTTCTCAGTGCATCCACAGGTAGCCGGGTGTCTGTCTGAGTCTCGGTGTCTCTGGCTTCCGCGGTTAGGGGTTCCCACTGCTCCCAGGCTGCATCCTGCAAGATGCGTCCTTCCTCCTCAGCGGTCAGCCCAGACTGAACTAGGCTGTTCCCTTTTATACTAGTACTGCATTTGGAGCATGCCCAGTAGGGAAGTGGGGGTGTGACTTCTTCAGCCCACAATAAGGAGTTAACCCTTCCCCATCCAGTGCGGGGTGAGTGTGCCCCATTACAGGTCCATAAAAGTATCCAGTTCTTTTTAGTTTTAGGACCTGTGCAAGATGCTGGTTTATCAGCCCTACATCAAGACTGGACAAAGTTCTAGAAAAGAATGAATCATCAGTGTTTATGTGCTGGTTTATGTCTTCCAGGGGGGGTATGAATATTGGCCCAGATTCACTTGCTCTGGTGCCAGGTCAGGTGAATTAAACCCTCTTATGCCAGCCTGGGCAGTGAAGCTGCTTGTTCTCCCCGGGCTTCTGTTGGGGAGGACCAGCTTTAACCACTGTCAGATACATTTACATTCCCTTTGAATTTGGCCCATAGAGGTGACTAACCTCCCCTAAGTCACAGAGACAGTCAGTAGCAGAGCCTGTATTGGACCCCAAAAGCCCCCAGTCCTGTGTTCCACTCCCCAGGTCACACCTCTCTTGAAGCTACCCCTAACAGAGCCCCTTTTACAGCTAAACACCTCTACATGGGGCTACAAACTATTACTTCAGCCCTCCATGGAGGACCAGCTGCTCAGATTCAGGCTAGTTTTATTCACAAGTTATCACCTTGGCCTAGTCAATGCCCAAAAAAATCACTTACTGAAAAATAAATACAAGTGTAACTAGTTTGGCCAGAAAGGGTTAGCAGACAGCATAACATCCAAGGTGTGTCTGTAGTATGCCTGGTATGTCAGTAACTGGTACTGTATGTTCAAAATGACAGGATATATTGTAGCTGCATATTCTTAGTTTTATCCAGCACTGGATACCACCTGTCATTCATTTCAATGAAACAGCCATTTTCAGCTAAGCAAATATCTCTAAGCAGACAGACCTATGGAGTTTCCACATTTGTGCTAATACTGCAGTCAAGGGCCTCTATACAATGTGGTAAGCTGGCTCTAAATTCTTCCGCAAGGTTCCTGGATTCTGCAGTAGCTTCCTTCTAATTAATACATGTACGTGTTTAAACTAATTAAATATGGAAATGAATAGAACCATCAGAGAAGTGGCCCCAGTGTTATTTGCTTTGATAGTCATTATACAGATGTTATGTGGTCCCCACATTTTCATTTTCCTATTTGCCAAGGGGTTTGGTATTGACTGCACGTAACTGCATCATAGGTGGTATCAGAGGGCAAAACTGGAAGTTTTGGCAGATGACAAGGGGGTGTCACACAGTCTGGAATGGCTCATAACTGAGTGTCAATCTCAGGTCAGACTGTCAGAAAACAGGGCAGACATGTCAAACTTGTGGTATGTTCTATAATAAGATTTCACCAAGCTAGTAACAAATGTGAACTCCTGGATCACTATATTAGTCTGACCATGGAGTTACAAGCAGTCCCGTTGGGCTGTCCAGCCTATCTTGCCACCCCGACAAACTGGACTTAGTGATAATGGTCACATAAACCAAAAATCACACCACTTCAGGTTACTCCCAACCCCAAAGGGTCAGTCACTTACCCCTAGGTCAACTGGTACTCTGGATCTTACACCAAAAGCAATGCCAGTAGCTAATCCTCTAGTAAACAAACTGAAGATTAGCTAAGAAAAAGAAATGAGAATTATTGAGAGGTTAAAGCAGGTAAAATAATTAACAGGTGAGTCAAAGTTTTTAAATCCAAAACGATAGCTGAGATGCAGTAATCTGCCAGTTCCAAAAATCTGTTAGGGCACCTAGAATAACTCTAGGGGTCTCTGTCCACTCACTCAGTATTTCCACCCTGTTGGCATCCAAACCGTCCAGAGATACAGGATCATTCCTTGAAATCCATTTTATAGCTTCTCCAGAAACCAAGCTGAACAGTGTCTTCACCCACGTGGGTTTTGATGCATAGGAAATGTAGGTTGAGTCTGTGAATTTTCATTGTCGAACACAATGGCCCTTGCTTTGAAGTTAGCATTTCTGGTTACAGCCATTCAGGGTCAGCTCCAGGCATCAGCGCAGCAAACAGGTACTTGGGGCGGCCAACGGAAAGGGGCGGCACGTCCAGCTCTTCGGCAGCAATTCGGCGGCAGATCCCTCAGTCCCTGCCGCCGAATTGCCGCTGAAGAATGAAGCGGTGGCGGTAGAGCTGCCGCCGAAGTGCCTCCGATCGCGTCTTTTTTTCCCCCCCCGCCGCTTGGGGCGGCAAAAATGCTGGAGCTGGCCCTGCAGCCATTAAGTCCTTCATTAACACCTCTCAAGGTTTCTTTGAGGAATAAATGTAACGTACCAGCAAACAACAATCTTTCATTAGTTTTCATGAAGTTTACATGTCAAACCTCTTCTCATTTTAACACTAGCACACACTCTAATCTAGGGCTATCTAATTACAGGGATATACATAATATAATGTGAAAGCAATCAACAGGTTACAGATAAGTGAAGACAATGCTATTTAACACATCAGTGAATTAATCTATGGCTCTGACCCGCTGGTCTGTCAGTGTCATGGCGGGCAAATGGGATGTGTGGTGCCTAACAAAGAGTAGATGCAGCTAGTGAGTTGAACACATGAGCTGGATATTCCTGATAAAATGGTCTGTAGTGAAATAGTTAACAATACTGATATTTCAATGGTCACCTTTTGGTTTCAGAGTTATCAAGCCATTGAGATGAATAGACTCAGGAAGACATCACTGTATCAGGGTACACTTAGTTCATGTTGCTCAGGTATTCTTCTGAAACTTATTCCCACCAGTGGGCATTGGAGGGCTTCCCCTCTCCAGCAAGAGTTTTCAGAGGATCACCATAGATCTTAATCAAACTACACTGTCTTTCCCCACGCTTTTTGGAAAGCTCTTGCTTCCACCTGGTGCCACATGCTATATAGATTGCTAGTCAATAGGTTTGATTCATAGGGACTTTTGCCTCCAGAATTTTGCTTTAAAGGAATCCAACATCTCAAATCCCGACTTGGCAGATAGAGCTGACTTTGGTCTTATGCGAAACCACCAAGTGCTCCCTAATGATGAACCAGCTCAGGCTTGCTCAAAGTGCCATAAACCTTAGAGAGCCTGGCCCACATTTTGAGCAAACTGGTTTGGTTTCATTACAACCATTTTACACATTGATAGACAACCCCCGCCCCCACGCTTCTCATGTGGCTAAGGGCACTCTTCCTCCCCAAGGCATCAGAAGCGTATGGGTCTCTGGTATAACTGGTTGCCTCGCCATGCGTTATTGCTACGTAATGGCCTTCACTTTAAAGAAAAAACAACATTAAGTAAAATCAATGAGACATTTCTTGTATAACAAATATGCCTAATGATGTTCTACACTCCAGCTATGCTCTATGCATAGTCTAGGGCTATCTGTCCCACCTTGAATTTGACAGACAGTGCCATAGAGTCTCGTTATTTGTAGGAGAGGAAGTAAACCTGCTGGTAAATTGTGGCAGGGCATCAGTGAGATATTAATGGTCTCTGCTCATCAGCATCTCCAGAAGTGGATTGGGAGAGGGCAGGAAGGGTAGTGGTGCAGGTGCCTATTTTAGTAACAGCGGGAATAAGATTAAAAACAAAACAGGTCTTATACTGAGATTGACCCGAACACCTCCAAAGCTCAGTGCTGGGAAGAGACTTGGAATTCTGACCAGGATCTTAATTCAGTTGGTCACCCATCTCCATAATGCAGGAAACCAACCCCCCAGATCCAACACTCCAAAACTTTGGGGAGGGAACGTGTATTTGGGAATCTGAATTTTGTAGCTGGCTTCTATTTCTATAACTAGCTGAACCAAATCCTCAGATCCAATCACCACAAACACTGAGGAGATCTGAATTTTGCAGCATGTGCCCATCTCTGGTCTCACTGAGTGCTAAGGCCAGATCCTCAAACGTATTAGGCACCTAGCTACCATGGATATCAATGGGAGTTAAGCACCTAAAGTGCTCTGAGGAGCTGGGCCTAAATAAAGTGCATTGGAATTGATTTCCCAGTTCAGTCTGAGCCTTCCAGGGAGATTGTAGTTTCGGGAACTCTGCTGGGATTGGGAAAGGTGTGTTTTGGGTATTGTAATTAATGCTGCTTGGCAATTTTCCATCAAAATGACTTGCTGATTGAAAGTGCCGTCTCTACTAAACTGGGAAAATTTTGATTTTGTTAAAAAAAATGATTTTTCTCTCATGCAAATTGAAATAAATTATTTCATTTCAGGTTGATTTGACCGGACTCAAAATATTTCAGATTATTGAACTGCCCCAAAACTTTTCTAGGGTACTGTCCCCCCTTCGGTAGGTATGACCTGCATTCCGTGCTCCTAGATCTGTAACTTTGCAGTTGCAATTATGCGTTGGCATAACTTTGCAATTACAATGCGTTGTTTTCTCCTCTGAGATGGGAAGCATTTTATGGACATTTCCCATAGTGTTTGCAGACTAACGCAAGCTGCTGACTCAGGTGTAGGCGTTGGCCTGGAGGGAAGAATGCTGGCAGTAATTCCAGACTCACATTCACAAACACATAGAACAGAAAAAGCCTCATGAAAGGCCAAATAAAAAAAGAACAACATGGAGACTAATATTTGGTCCTTGTTTTCCCCCACCCTCCATTCAAGGTGGAATATGACCTTTTTCTGAAATATGATCTGATCCAAATACAGTGACTTACTCTGAAACCTTTCTTTTTTATATGCAGCTGTAGGATATCAAAAGCTAAAGAAAAGACCACAGCATTAAAAAGGGCTGGTTAATTTTATAACCATTTGTAGTTATAACATCATCTTGCATACCAAGGATCTCACTGCATTTACCAATATTAATGAATACACCTCTACCCCGATATAATGCGACCTGATATAACATGAATTCGTATATAATGCGGTAAAGCAGTGTTCCGGGGGGGGGGGAGGGGCTGCTTACTCCGGCGGATCAAAGCAAGTTCGATATAATGCGGTTTCACCTATAACGTGGTACGATTTTTTGGCTCCTGATGACAATGTTATATCGGGGTAGAGGTGTATATCCTCCTGTGTGGCAGAAGGTATTATTACAGAATCATAGAAATGTAGGGATGGAAGAAACCTCAGGAGGTCATCTAATTCATCCCCTTGTTCTGAGGAAGGACCAAGTATATCTAGATCATCCTTGATAGGTGTTTGTCTAACTTGGTTTTAAAAACTTCGAAGGATGAGAATTCCACAATTTTCCTAGGTAACCTGTTCTAGTGCTTATCTATTCTAATAGTCATCAAGCTTTTCCTAATATCTAACCTCAATCTCCCGTGCTGCAGATAAAGCCAATAATTTATCATTTATAATTTCTTGTCCTATCCTTGATGGACATTGTGAGCAATTGATCACCATCCTCTTTATAATAACCTTTAACATATTTGAACAGTTATGTCCCCTTTGTGTCTTCTCCTCTCTCGAGTAAGCATGCCCAATTCTTTCCTCAGAATTCATGTCTTCTAACCCTATTAAACTGAGGCATGGAGAATCATTGAAATATAGGGCTGGAAGGGTCCTCAAGAAGTCATCAAGTCCTGCCCCTTACACTGAGGCAGGACCAAGTAAACCTAGATCATCCCTGGCAGGTGTTTGTCCAACCTGTTCTTAAAAACCTCCAATGATGGGCATTCCACAACCTCCCTTGGCAGCTCATTCCAGAGCTGAACTACCTTTACAGTTGGACAGTTTTTCCTAATATCAAACCTAAATGTCTCTTGCTGGAGATTAAGCCCATTACTTCTTATCGTACCTTCAGTGGACATGGAGAACTATGGATCACAGTCCTCTTTACAACTTCCCTTAACATATCTGAAGACTTATCAAGTCCCCACCTCAGTCTTCTTTTCTCATGCCCAGTTTTTTTTAACCTTTTCTCAAAGGTCTGGTTTTCTAAACCTTTTATCTATTTTGTTGCTTTCCTCTGGACTATCTCCAGTTTATTCACATATTTCTGAAAGTGTGATACTCAGAACTGGATACCGTACTCCAGCAGAGTCGTATTCAATTTGTGATCCACTGGAACCCGCTTGAAGTACTATCACCTAACCAGTTATTCCTCATTTTGTAATTGTCCATTTGATTTTTGCTGAGTAAAGTACTTTGCACTTGTCTTTAATGAATTCCATCTTGTTGATTTCAGACCAATTCTCCAATTTGTCAAGGTCATTTGGAATTCTACTCCTGTCCTCCAAAGTGCTTGCAACCCCTCCCAGGTTGGTGTCATCTGCAAATTTTATACTCATACTCTCCATTCCATTATCCAAGTCAATAATGAAAATATTAAACAGTATTGGGCCCAGGACTGACTCCTGCAGGACCTCATTAGATACATTCTCCCAGTTGAACAATGAACCATTGATAACTACTCTTTGAGTGCAGTCTTTCAACCAGTTGTGCACCCACCTTGTAGTAATTTCATCTAGACCACATTTCCCTAGTTTGCTTATGAGAATGTCATGTGGATCTGTGTCAAAAGCCTTACTAAAATTAAGATATATCATATCTACTGCTTCCCCCCCATCCACTAGACCAGTAACCTTGTCAAAGAAACAACAGAGAGTCCTGTGGCACCTTTAAGACTAACAGATGTATCGGAGCACGTCTGAGGAAGTGGGTATTCACCCACAAAAGCTTATGCTCCAATACATCTGTTAGTTGATACTTGTCAAAGAAGGAAATTAGGTTGGTTTGGCATGATTTTTTCTTGACAAACCCATACTGGCTATTCCTTATAACCCTATCATCATCTAGATTCTTACAAATTGATTTCATCATTTGTTCCAATCTCTCTTTAGGTTTCAAAGTTAGGCTGACTGGTCTATAATTTTTCAGGTCCATTTTGTTCCCCTTTTTAAAGATAGGTACTATATTTGCCCTTCTCCAGTCCTCTGGGACCTCACCTGTCCTCCACAAGTTCTCGAAGATAATTGCTTTCGAGATTACTTCAGCTAGTTCCTTAAGTACCATAGGATGAATTTAATCAGGCTCTGCTGATTTGAATACATCCAACGTATCTAAATGTTCTTTAAACTTTTCTTTCCCCATTTTGGTTTGCGTTCCTTTCCCCTTGTTGTTAATATTAATTGTGTTGAGTATTTGATCACCATTAACCTTTTTAGTGAAGACTGAAATGAAGGCATTAAACATCTCAGCCATCTTAATGTCATCCGTTAAATGATTTTCCCAAGCTCACACAGGAAATATGAGGAAGAGGTGGAAATAGAGCTCAGATCTTCTCACTCCCAGTCCTATAGTTTAGACACCAAGCAGTCCTTACTAAATGCCAAAATTGGGGCAATCATATCTCATGCTTCATGGGGTGCCTGTATACTAAAAATATTTGTATCTAGAAACAGCATTAGCACTAGTCTAGCTAAGATCCAAGTGTTGCTACCAGCATGTCATGCTCTGCACCATTTGTGCTCCCAGGTATCACTAATCTTTCTGCATTGTTTCAAAGGCAGTGTGCATAGAGCTAGAGCTCCATACAGTACATAGCTAAAATGGCTCCTCCTCTTCCAAACAATAAGGAGCTATGCAAGCTCTTCAGTGAGCTCACACAACCTCCAGGTTTTCCCACACTACAGAGCCAACTTGGGTCCCCACATTCCATCAGTATGAAGCAAGCAGAATGTTACCAGTTTCTTATCAGCTGCTAATGCTCTAGAGATCTACTGTCCAGCAGACGAAGAGAGCTAGAGAGCAGTTCCAAGAATAGTTCCAAGAATAGCTAGGGCCCAAATCCTACCCCCATTGACATCAATGGTACAGCTCCCCTTGACTTCAATGAGAGCCACAGGATTTGGCCCATGTATGATGTGGTTAATTCTGCAGTACAGTGATCACAGAGCTGCTGCTAAGCCTGTCTTTATGCTGCATGAAAATGCCGCCTTAATGTTTTTTTTGCCTTCCAACCCTCTTCCTCCTCCTCTATTTCTTTGTTCCTCCACTAGATATCCTGGACCCACTCCCACCTTCCAGCCTTAAAAGATTAGAATGGGAGGCAGTAAGAGGGTGATCTGTTCCAACTGAGGACAGCAGCAAAGGCAAGAGAGATCACCAGCCATATCAGGGTGTCTTCACTCAATTCCACTGGCTGGATCAGCGTGGGTGAAACCACACAGCAGCTTCTAAACTACTCATCTTTCAGTAGGCTTTAATTTCTCCTCCTGCTTGGCTCCTGTGTTGCCTGATGGAGAAATGGGGGGCAGCTCAGAGAGTTAACTTAACAGAGATGGACAAAAGGACTGGAAAAGATAACTTCAGGCAGGTGGTGGAAGCTCGGAACATTGTATCTATCTAGAACAGGAGTCTCAAAGTCCCGGCCCGCAGGCCATCTGCAGCCCGAGAACCTCCCCAATGTGGCCCGCGGGGCTCAAGCAATTTTGGGGCCGGGTCTCTCCCTTGGCCCTGCCTACCGCCCCCGGGCACTCCCTCCCCCTGCGTGGCCCCCGGGCGATTTAAAATGGCCCGGGGCCCCACCCACCACTGGCAGTGCAGTGGAGCTGAGCGACTTCCTGCGCACTCACTCCACACGTCTGCCGGCCCTTCCCTGCAGCCCCAGGGCAGGGACGGGGCTGTGCCTCCACGCGCTGCCCCCACACTGAGAGCCCCTGCAGCCAATGGGAAGCTGCGGGGGCGGTGCCTAGGGGAAGCAGTGCACGGAGGCCCCGGCCCACCCCGTCTTGGAGCCCCAGGTAAGCGGTACAGCACTCCCAATCTCCTCCCAGACCCTGCACCCCCACACCCTCCCCACATCCCCCTCCTGCCCCCAAACTCCCTCCCAGAGCCTGCACCTCCTCCCCACACCCCTCCAGCCCCCAAACTCCCTCCCACAGCCTGCACCCCCTCTCCCTTCCCACACACCTCCTCCTGCCCCCAAACTCCCTCCCAGATCCTGCAACCCCACCCCCTCCTCCTGTACCCCACCCCTTACCCCAGCCCAGAGCCTGCACCCAGCACCCAAACTCCATCTCAGCGCCTGCAACCCAGACCTCCTCCCCCACCCAAACTCCCTCCCAGAGCCTGCACTCTGCACTCCAATCCCCTCCCCCAGACATCCTCCCCCACCCAAACTCCCTCCCAGAGCCTTAGGCAGGTGGGGGGGCAGAGTTTTTGGGCGGGCAGAGTTTTGGGGGGTGGGTTCTGGTCGGCATGACTGACATTATTGGCCTGCTGGGAGGATTTGAGGACTGGCACTGGCCCTAA